TTTACTGGCTTCTACTGCTTGGCAAATCAAAATTTAATGATTAAATTTCTTTATCTTTAAACTTATTATTGATTATTATGGATTTTTCTTTAATTATTATTCAAAGCAAACTCATCTCAAAATCACCATAACTTAAAGACTTTATGTTTTGGTCTCTACATGATGACTTCTCACCATTTTTTGTTATGTCTATGACAGAGATGTCACAGGCATTGCAAAAACAGAGAGCTTGGGTGACTTCAGGATATATTTATTTGTACATGATCTCAGTTGTGAAATTAGTTTCCCTCTATTTTGTACCAGGAACATAAACTCTCAGGAGACTTCTGTCTGTACAAGAGAGGATGCAAAAGGTCTAGATCCAAGCCCTGACATTTCAGACACTGATTAGGCTCCACAGTTGGAAGATCTGGAGAAGAAAGGCCCTCTCAGTTGTTCAGGCTTTGTTAAGGGCACATGCATCCTTTCCTCGTGGACACGAGTAATCTCTTCATAGGTGCTGCAGCAAACGGCTCAAAGCTCAGGCAGGTAAACACAAGCAAACCTATGAATTCAGAAGCACTCTTTTCCAAGCATTTGGAAAAAAAAAATGTCACACTCATCACAGCCATCCTCTGCCTAATACCTAAGCTCCAAGTTAATCTATTCATTGTCTAGAAATAACTTTTCAGAAGGATTTAAAAAGAAAAAAAAATCTTTTTACTTAAAGAATACTGCTTAGCTTTTGCTTTTGTATTTTAAGAGACACATGAGAGATTTTAGGGAATCTAGCTTTACTCTTGGGCTATGTGGGTTTTTTATTTTTTAACTGATTACTCATCCGAGGTGGATAGCAACAGAACAAAACTCACAAAAGTAAATGACTTCCTAAGCATGCAAACTCAAGGCTTCCATAATAACAAAAAAGGAGTCTCTAAGCCTACTATTTTTTAATGATGGGTATAAAATATTTGTTCTTCGACAACTATAGCCCAGGGAGGGCTTCTCTCCTAATCTATAATCACCCTACTCTCATTGTTGCAACAGTCAGTTTTGAACAAGTTGACTCATACATTTCTCCAGCATGAGATTAAAAGGCTTTGACTGTTTTTATTATTCTTTATTCCCCTACACAAAAGAAATCACTGAGACACTCAAAAACTATCACATTAAACTTGCTTACTCAAACCAAAGGATTTTCCTATAAAGTACAGCGCCCAGAGCCACGGCACGTTGGATGACAACCTTGATGTATCCACAATGGGCAAGGATGGCTCACTAAAGAGCCCCACTTCACGTTTAGATACACATCCTGCCTGACGCAATGTGGTAACACACTTGCCACCACTCTCACTGGGCATTTCCATTCACTGTACTGATGGGAACAGCACCCTTTTCACAAATAAATATCTGCTCTGCACTTTTTCTGTGAGACAACGCTTGCTTGTTTCTATTAGAAAGGGGCTTACTTTATGTTTCAAATAATATTTTCCAGGTACGTATTTGTAGAAAGTAGGGCATATGCACATCTTAGACTTTTTTTTTGTTTAGTTGTCATTATTATACGTTATTCCATTTTGGATAGATTTTCTATTACAAATTAATGCTTTATTTATGAAATTGTTCTTCTGTCTTTAAAATGCATAAGGAAAATTGGAAACACAAGACAAAGCTGCTTTGTGAATCATTTTGAATTTATTCTTTGGATTACACAGTTTGTTATTTCTAACATGAAGCTTTTTTTTTTTTATTTATTTATAACTGCACCATGTGAGCAACCTAAGGACATATTCCAATGGATATTTCAGCAGTGTGAATGGGGCATACAACAGTGGTGAGTCTATTGTTGAAATCAAATTTTAGGCTTTCCCATTCAGGAAATGTACTATAAGTAACCAAGATTGTGTTAATGAATCAAGCTAAATAACAAACAATCAATATAAATAAAATAAACAGTTGCAAATGCCTGATTAAAAATCTGCACAAGCAGGCTGCAAATTCCAACATTCATCTTTGCTTCCACAGTGGCAGCATCTGCTGTGCAGCAGCAGGGAGAGGCAGCACTTTTCCTCCTTTAGACATGAAACAATTATAGAACTTAGGCAATTTTCTAAAATAATTTAACAACAGATCTATGGACTGCATGGTCTCCAGCCCTTTTGTGTTATTATTACTACACAGGCAAAACTTCCTACTGCTAGCTCTTTACTATGTACCTTTTTCTCACAGATGTGAAAACAGTTTTATTAGCTTGCTAAACAGCTGCATGGTTTGGGGTTTTTGTTTGTTTGTTTTGCAAAGTTCCCACAAAATAAGCATAGTGAGCAACATAAGCAGAAAACCTAGAGTGATTTTTTTTTTTTGCTATCATGAACAACTGTGTGAAGGAATACTAGAAGAAAAATTCTTCTGATGCTACAGAGAATGTCAAAGTCCTCAGTCACTTAACTAGCACATATGGTATTAATGAGCTACGTAAATTAAACGAGCAAAGTAAATTGCAGCATACTTTTTCTCCTGTGAAATTCTACCATTTTATTCTTCAAGGAGTTTACACAATTTTTGCTTCACTCTTCATTTTTCCCTCAACAGTTACAGAGTTTCAGGTTTGAAAGATTTCCAGCTTCAAAACATTGTTAACCTTTAAGCACTAAAGTAGTAAATTCTATACCCACTAATCTTATAATCATTTGCCTATGCAAATACTGCTTTTCATTTCTAAAATAATTTTTCACCCTATGTGAATAAGTTAAATTTCATATGCCTGAAAGGTTCAAAAATCCAATTAAAAGAATTTCAACTTTTTAATTCCTGAGGGAATTAAATTTTATTATACTAAGGACTGGCATTATAAGCTACGATTATGAAATGTAAACTAACTTGATACAGCAAAAATTATCTGAAAGGCATGTAAAACTTGGTGAATTATTAGCTAAAACAGTCTTGGCTTTAGATGGGATTCAGGTTTGTTGCTGGCAAGTGTTAAATACTTAGTTTCCACAGGAATAGTTATGATTTCTTTAAGAAAGAAGATCTGAACATGCTGTTTATCAGGCTTGAGAGTCCTAAGGAACACACCTGACATCATGGGTTCCTTAAAACAAGACACACACTGTAATTATCTCCCAGATGTTTTGGAGCTGCCCTAACAGGCACATTTACCAGTCTGCAAGAACTCATACCCTGGAGCACTCTAACAGAAGCAACAAGAGAGAAACAGAGAACGAAACAATCTGTGAAGGACAAATATGAAGGAAATGTAACAGTATGAAAAGAAGGAGGAAAATTTGGAAACTTGGAGCAGGGATAGCAAAGATGCATTGCTGCTAGGAGGGAAAAAAAGAAAAAAGTCACGCTGTGGTTTTGATTTAGAAATTCAGCCTCTGCAAAGGCCTTCCCCTAAGGAAAAGGGTTTGAAGATACAGAGACAAAGCAGCAGTGTGTCAGCCTTGTCTGACAGAATAAGTTACCAAAAGTTAACTTAAGACAGACAGTCTGTTTAAAGGGTTCTGCATGTTCAGAGGATTAAAACCTAGTGTTAACATCAACATTATAATGTCTCATGGCTTTTGCTGATTGATGAGGTTTTTGGTTTAAGTCAAAGTAATGACAAATGTCCATAATCATAGATTCCTCTTCTCTTTAGTGACCTCAAGCTATTAATACCTAGCCCACAGAGGAAAGCTAGGAAGTTTGCTCTGAATTGGCACTACAACACAGTATCACATACATGCACTGAATGCATCCAGTCAGCAAGCATCTCTACAACGTAACCAAAAGCTTCTGTCAGAGCATCAGATATATCGGGATGGGTCAGATAAGGTGCAGGCAGACGTTCTGAACTCTTGATGAATAATATTCAAAGTGTTCAGCTTCAAGCATAAGCAACAAAATTGGCTATTTATCAAAATTGCCATTTTGGTAAATTATGAATCAACCCCAGATCTTCCTAGCAATCTCAGGAGGTGAGCGAAGTCTTCAAGCATGACTGAAGCTTAACATGTATAAGTTATAGGTGTTTTGAGTACCTGAAAGATAGATTTACCTGAATGTATTTTACTTTTCTATATTCAACTGTAGAGAGTTACTTTGTGGTATAAAAGCTAAAGCCTCAAATATAAAGATTTTAAACTAGCAGGAAAAAAAATAAAAGGACAACAAAAAAAAACATGAATTTCTATTTTATTCAGATTTTCTATTTCCATAACTTAATTAGCCAACTTAATTCAATTTAGTAAAAGAACTCTTAGAGACAAAAACACAAAATGTTGATGTAGGTTAAAAATTATGCCAACACAAAGAAAAAAAAAGAAAAAGAAAAAAAGAAATCCAACAAAACTCAAGCAGCAAACAACATTCAGATCAGAACAGCAGGGGAAGATAAGACTGATTACAGATAACAAACTTAGTGTAGATGTAATATGAAGTTCAAGATAAAGTAAATCATCCTGGCATTCTTGGTCACCCTTGGTCACCTCTAAAAAGCTCCACATTTCATCTTTCTACCTTTAACAAGTTTAACCAAATTAGCTACCTTAAACACAACACTTGGATTCTGATACCTGCACTCATACTATGTATTTCATCAAAAGCTGCTTTTTCATTTGCCTTATTCTCCTTTAGCAGGTGTGAATGAATTTCTATTTACAATTATTTTAAAAAATGACTTATTTTCTCTAAAATAATAATACATTTCTGAAGACAGCTTTAACAAAGTACACGATAATAAGTTAGATCATTCCTCTAACAGGATAAGACCCTTTTTCCAACCTTCTCTTCATAGAAATTCACTCTAGTGAAATCACAGCAAAAAGCAAGGTAACATCTAGTCTGCATTGCTGGGAGAAGGGCTAACGTGGAATTTAAATGGATATCAGTTGCAAAGTAAAGGAAAGCAAAGAGGACAAAACCACATAAACAGTCGTATTTAGGAAGCTTGTGAATATCCTGATTATCTGCTTTAAAACACCAGCTTAACCTACAGCATGCACAGGAACTAGGAAAATTAATAGCAAACATACCTGTATTAGTGAGAGATCCTCAAGCTGCAACCTGAAGAGGTAGTTTCTGGGTTAAAAAAAAAAAAAAGTAATTGTTACTAGTGGTTAAATAAAAACATAATTTATGAGTATAAAAGGCAAAAGCAATAAAAATATGCCTGGCAGTCAGGACTTGAAATTTTTCAGTACACAGCCCCCGGACTAAGGCAATTTTCAAAACTTCTGATTGAAGGACTGGATTTACATGAAAGGGAAAAAAAAAAAAAAAAAAGAACATATTTATACTTCACACATGTACTTTTATGTCAGTCTCTCCAGTCCTCCTTTAGACTCAATGGAAGGAAATCCACGCTGCTTAGGCAGAATCACCTGGACAATGTCAGATGTTCAAATAAGAGCAAGATGTCGCATGGAATAAAACCACCTGCTTCTCCCTAGACCAACAGGGCCCCAGTGCAATGAGCACCCACAGATAGACTGTATGCCAAGTTTGAAGCAATGAATCCCAGTACCATGGAGGGACAGCAAGTCCCTCTGTGTGGAGCCCTGGGAAAGCCACATTTAACAGGGCAAGTGTGCCTGACTGACGAGAAGCTGAGATCATTTTTCTTTGGCTTATATATATATATGAGTGCTGTCACAACTCCTCCAATTTTTCTGTGTATATCTAGTTGATGTAGCTGTAAAGTTTTGTTTGTTCAGATAAATCAGTTTTGCTAGTAGTGCCCATGATATCCATTCATGATCCTCTTGAAAACAAATAAGCAGGACACCAATTTTGAATACATTTGACTGGTTCCTTATCTCCTTGCCACAGGTTCTCCTTTGTGGCAGGTCTACATGCTCCATTTCCCTATTCCTGAAGCTCACTGGCTTCTTTCTTCAACTTATCCTCTCCTTACATCAGCTTTTCTTCTCATCACTTATTATTTGTTCTTCATAGTTTAACACACAAATTTCTTCAGTCCTCTCTCCCTTATCTTTGATCATATTCTGCCGTTTCCAACACCAGTGCAGAATTATTAAGTTTTATAAATGACCATGAAAAGCCATTTTTGAAAGATGAAAATATAAAAATGACTTCCATTTTAATCTATTCATAACAAATCTCTAAAACTTTACAAACAACAAATTCATTCCAACAAAACAAGTACACATTGTTAATAAAGCAATAATGAAATGTAAACATTACATTTAAATATCTGAAGATCATCTGCAACATTACATTCATGTGACTTCTATAAGTTAAATTGAAATGAGGTCAGATTTTTGGAATCAATAATCCTATTTCTTTCCAAAGAGACATCAGGTATCGTTAATAGGCACAGATGGTCAGGACCTCTATTTTACATCTGTATTAAATATTTTAATGAGATTTAAAAATATGAGCCTGCGACTGAACAATGAAAATTAACTTTCTTAAACCTTTTTTTTTTTTTTTTCTTCCAGAAACACATGCAGTCTCACAGATAGCTTTATTGATGGACTCTGTAGTGTACATATGTGTATTTATATATTTAGTTTAGAATATAGATATCTATTTCCCAGAATCAGGTCAATCTTTCCTATTTACCACCGAGGGTTACTCATTCAAAACATGAGGGGAAAATTGTATTCATCTCTCATTTCTCATTTTCATGAGAAAGCTAATAACAAATGGCAGGGCATTTGTTACTAGCATGAGGCAACCAAAGAGAAATCAGTAAAGTGCCCACGTATAAGCTACGGAGAGATCTCAGAGGGCAAATAAGGCCCCTAAACATGGTAGAACAGTGCTTACCAAGAACTCCACCAACACACTAAAAACACATTAATTTGAAAGACTCTTGGTGAAAGTCAGAAAACGATGCATTTGCTCTAACCTACTACAACCACACTACCTCTGCAAGGACAAATATAAAAAATTTGCAAAATTTGTCCTCCCCAGACATATTCAGCAGTGAACATGAACACGAAGACTAATCTTCCCTTTGTGAATACTCTACATCAGCCATCACTGACTGCATCTCACACTTTCAGTCCCCAGATCAGGGCTTGCTACAGGGCCATGCCTGTCCCTGCATGCACTTCCTCTCAAGATCTCTATTGAACATTTATCCCTAACGTGGCATTTTAACACAGAATGTCTCATTACTCATAAGGACTTTTCACAGTGTTTCCTTCTTGCATCATTTTGGCCTATTGTCTCAAACAGCAAAAATTCCAAATGAATAAATAGATAAAATTGTACTATCCTGAAGAAAAGCAGAAGCTGGAGGTTTTTGATTCCACAGAGTAAGAATTACTCCCTAAGTAGGAGAGCACAATACTTCTTGCCTGTGAAATATCCCTATAATTAGAAATTATGCCTGGAACTACAAATATTGACCATGTAAGTGTTAAGGAGACTAAAATACGTATATCCATGTGAGTAAGCCAACACTTGACACTAATACACACTTCTGGACACCCCTGGACACCAGTACAGATTAGGCGTGGACCTGCTGGAGAGCAGTCCCGCAGAGAGGGACCTGGGTGTCATGGTGGACGACAAGTTGACCATGAGGCAGCAGTGTGCCCTGGTGGCCAAGAAGGCCAACGGGATCCTGGGGTGCATTAAGAAGAGCGTCTCCAGCAGGTCGAGGGAAGTGATCATCCCCCTCTACTCAGCCCTGGTGAGGCCACATCTGGAGTACTGCGTCCAGTTCTGGGCTCCCCAGTACAAGAGGGATGTGGAGCTGATGGAGAGAGTCCAGCGCAGGGCTACCAGGATGATCAGGGGCCTGGAACATCTGCCCTATGAGCAAAGGCTGAGAGAGCTGGGTCTGTTCAGCCTGGAGAAGAGGAGGCTGAGGGGGGACCTGATCAGCGTGTATAAATACCTCAAGGGAGGCAGTGAGGAGGAGGGGGGCAGCCTCTTTTCAGTGGTGAGCAGGGATAGGACTAGAGGAAATGGCTTCAAACTGAAGCATCGGAAGTTCCACAGGAACTTAAGGAAGCATTTCTTCACTGTGAGGGTGACAAAGCACTGGAACAGGTTGCCCAGAGAGGTTGTGGAGTCTCCTTCTTTGGAGATCTTTAAAACCCGCTTGGATGCAGCCCTGTGCCACGTGCTCTAGGTGACCCTGCATGAGCAGGGGGGTTGGACTCGATGACCTCTGAGGTCCCTTCCAACCTTCGGCATTCTATGATTCTCAGTTCTCTGGGGTTGTTGATAACCAAAATAGTGCATCTTTCCCCCCCTCCCCGAGTTTCATAAAGTTATCAAGAAAAGAAACAATATGGAAAGAGAAGAAAAAACAGGTTTAAGGCATTATAAAAAGTATTAAAATACTGCAATACACTGCAAAATTGCAGAACTGGACGGTATAGAGGGATTCTTAATACATGACTATTGCCAAGGGAAAAGCTGCAAACAAGCTCTTGGAAAGCAATCAGAGATGTTCCTATCTAATTATATCCACTTCAGTAAAACTAGCAGGATTACGTTTCAATCTAGAAGTATAATAATAGTTTCATTTTCTAAGGCCTTTTCTCTCCATCTATTTTCTTTAGTTTTACTTCCCTTAGGCTTTAAAATCAACTGATGTCAAATAAAAATTACCAAGTATCTTTTTGAAGCATAAACACAGACTTCTTAGCATGTAGACATGATTTGTGTCCAAATATGGTGATGATAAAAGCAAGATAAATATAATGCATGCTGAAACTAAACTGATTCAGCACTGGCTGTAATTGGTAAAATTGCTTCCATTTGGTACTTAATGAACGAGGTAAGCAAATATGTTACATAAATCTGCATGCAGAAGGACAGGATAATGAGAAGAAAACACAACTAAGAGTATGAGACAAAGGATCCTGCATTCTTTCAGGTAACTACAAGCACAGACATCAGTATAATACTAAAATAAATATAAATAAGAATAAAATATCAATCTTATGAGTTACAACTCATTATATAGAGTAAGTTATAGACCCAGTGAAAACTACAGACCCAGTGAAAATTGGGTCGATGAGTCAAAGATGTAATCCAAACTGTTCTTTCTGTTTTAAGGTCTCTGAGTGTGAATATGGATGCAGATACCATTTCTTATATAGGAAAAGATATGGATTGAAACACAAACACAAAAAATGGACACAACAATAAGTACTGTTACATTAAGCACAGATTTGAAAAAGAATCTCAACTAGAAAAGTTTATAGAGTGCAAGTAAGAAAACTGACATAGCTTTATTTGAAGCTATTTCTACTTATGAACTCTAACAAGTCTTTAATTGCATGATTCCTATTACTTCCTGAGGACCCAAACTGGTCTTGCCTTCTGAAATAAAGCATTATTCAGTCACAGCAAGTATGAAAAGAGCTGGATAGGTATATGCAACATACACATCTTTTATTGCAAAAGACAGTTAGACCACCAAACCGCCATAAAATAACTCTTATGGTTGTATTCACTGTTAAATATGCAAAGATTTAAATAATCTTCTGGTTATGTTTAAATTAAATGAAGAAAAATCCTCCACAAAAGTGAAATGTAAAGTTCTGTACCAGGAGGGCAGGCAGAAGTAGACCAGCTCACTGTGCATGCAGTGGTCAGCAACACAGTCAGTCAGGTATCCACTGCAGAAGGAAGAGGCTTGTAGAATATATGAGAACACAGTCTTACAAAGAACCAAAGGAAGGCTCCAATTGCAATAGTCTGCAGTCAAAATACACACTCGGACTAGCATAGATGAAGGGTATACACGTTAGGTCAAAGACTTAATTAAATTAAGACTGATGCCTTCACAATACCGTTCTTTCAATATGATTTTTGAAGATGACTTGCACTGAAGTATCACTTCACTCTGACAAAACAGGTAGGTCCCCTTTACCTCTGCCATAACCCTCCTCCTCTGCCAGCCATGTACTCACTCCTATAAGCCTGCATAAGCTCAGAAGTTTCTCTGGTCATGCATCATGCCACTTCCACTAAATAAAATATTAAAATAATATTGACTCAGCAAAAGAAAGCAAGCAAATACTGCCAGAGGTGGTGAAAAGGAGAGGAAATTGCACAGTGGGGTAGGGAGAAAAAAAGGCAGGAGAAGTACTAAATGTAAGCGTGTTAGGAGAAGGTAAGAAAGGGAGGCAGAATGGGGAGAAATAAAAAACATTCCTTTTTGAAGAAAACTGGTGATTTCTCTTAGATTTAACAAGAAATAATACCTTAGATAAGATCAAATCAATTACTAGAAGGACAGACATTGACTACCCTGAACCGAGCATTAAATGAGGGGTAAAAGTCAGATGCATATTCCAAGTATATACCAACACATTTGTGGTGCCCAAATATTCTCCCAATATGCAGTGCTCAGAGCACCTCATTTACAAGAAGCTCTCAGGTTGTTCTGCTGAGAGCAGGCAACAGGGAGAGGCAAACCTGCACAGTTAGATAGCCCTTTATTAAAGAGATTCTCAAACAACCCTTAATGAATCCTTCAATTTGTCTTTTCATTATTATGGCAGCCAGTGGTAATGGTTCAAATAAGCGTTCCCAAACACACACCTAATTAAGAGCAAGGGTATACTGCTGCAGCCCTTCATCAGGCAGATAAGGAGAGCCTCCAGCAATAAGCTACCTCAAAGCAAGCTGAAATCCTCCAAGCAAGCTTAATTAACTTCCAGGAGAATTTACAAGAGAATGACAGTGTTATGGTGCTGTGTGTAAAAAAATAGCCTAAGATATGTCTAGATATATAATATTATATAGCATTCAGTTTAAAAAATGTGGAAGAATAGATTTAAGACCCATTTCTGATAAGAAAGTATGTATTTTGAAAACTCAGCTTGAATTATAATAACTAAATTACCACAGTTAAAGAACAAGCTCCAGCTAGACTCCTACCAGCTCATAGTTTCAAGCAGAAGAGGCTTGGCAGGAGGAGGGCTACTTAATTATCCCTTTAAACACACAAGCCACTTCAGATATAAAGTTTCTTGCATAGTCTGAATAGAACCATTAAGAAAAAAGAGAGAGAAATTAAGAAGTTATACACACACCTGCACACAGAGAAAAGAAACAGAGGAAACTAAACCTAACTAATTATTTTGCATTTCAGCAACCTTTCTGTCCTGACTGACTAAATTTGAGCCCTTCTAGCTGACTGATTTACCTCCAAATGGCCGGAAAACTCCCTGTACCTTTTATTTGGATTATAAAAAACAGTTGGTAGCAATTTCGTGCACATTATCACAGAATAAGAAGAAATGGCAAAGCATACTTTGCCAAGGCAATGGAAAGACTGCTGCTTCCTCCCCTTGAACTCATCTTTCTCCATTAAAATGACCTTTTGGTGGGGAAAAGAGGAAAACATTGGAAGAAATATGCAAAATTACTCCACTGAGGGGGAGAAAAAAAAAGGTAAGGTTGCTCTTGGGCAATCCCATGAACTTTCATGCTTGCAGTCATTTCACAATGGAGCATCTAATCAAAAATGTTAACGATTACTCTACTGGGTACATTAAAACCACATGCAGGAATATTCTTCTGAGTATTTTCAGAATGAGACACAAAAACAGCTTCTCATTTCCTTGAGCTTAACTGAGGAGCTAATGCCCTAATCCTTTGCTGATGCCACTTAATTATAGAAGTAAATACTGTCTAGCCATATGTTTTTTGTTTTGTTTTGTTTTGTTTTTAAAGAAAAGAATTGAATACCCTAGGAGAAATCACTCACTTTATCTGCCAGGTCACATGTGATACTAAAATAATGCTCAGCACAAATTCTAATGGTACAGATTCATAGGAAGTGATATATTGCCCTATGTAAAAAATCAGTAATAAATACAAAAGCTATCTTTATATATCCACAGATGAACATTATTTCCAAAACTGGAAAATCAAGAGAAATTTTAGCAATATAGGACCAGAAGGGACCTTTTTTGTTTTTTACCTGATACAGCAAGTAGTACAGCATAGTGTCCCCTTCAATATTTAGAGATTGCCTCCTCAAAAAGAGTTCTGTTTTTGTTTTATTTGCACCAGCAGTTCCCAAACTCAGTGCTTCTTGAATAATTTAACTATGGCAAACATGTGTTTTGTTTTTGACAACACTACTGTGTAACTTAGAGAGCTACTGGCAGATGATGGATTTACAGGCAGCTACTGTGCACGTGGCCAAGTTGCTTATTCATTCCCAGCTACCTAAATATTCTTTCTCTTTTTAACCTAACTTCTTCCCCCAGAAGAGGAGGAAGCAGAAGATTACAGACAGAACATCGTGCCCCAGTCCTGTTTGGTTGCTGGACAAGGGAACTGTAACAGCAGTGCTTCTCTTTGCAGGGTAGAGTACCATGTATTTGTAGCTTCACTGTGTGCCACATGGCTACTGCATGATCAGGTAGACAAAGGCAACACGTTTTGAGAGACTACAGTTATTTTCACAACTGAACAGGAATTTGCAGCTTTTCTTAGTAAGATCACTTTATGCATACCTACTCGCTTTTCTGAAGTGTTAGCACAAGGACACAGGAAGGTAATAGGAGCTTAATTTGTTGGAATAATGCAAGAGAAATAACTGCATACTAAAAAACTTCATATGTGCGTAAGAATTAACACACTATTTTATGAAAGAACATTTGAGGATAAGGACAGAAGTGACTTCTTCTAGTGGCTCTTCAGATGGAAGCATCTTAAGGTGTTGTTTGGTGACTCACAGCAGAGCAAACAAACATGGATAAACAGTATATCCCTGTTTCAGGGCACCATACACACAGTTACCAAGGAAGTTACATTTTCTAACTCTATAATTTGAACTTCATTTTCAGCTCCAAACCAAAGCAGGAAACAGAAGTTCACTCCAGGGTGAATAAAAATAAATAAATATCAAATGACTGGAAATTTGTAAATTAAACAGACAAAAACAAAGATTTCAATACTAAGCTTAGTTAAAATATTTTGTCATCTAGAAAGATTTACTATACTTTATATGCAGAGAGAAGGAAAAAGCAAAATCATGTTTAAAGCCTGGCACAGCTTTACTCTTCACATCCAAGGCAGTTTGCAAATTATGACTAATAGCAAAAGTCTGTCTTACTGTATCAAAATTACATGTATTTGTCACTATCTAGTTCTGTGGTTCTGCCCTAACTATTTATTAGGATCACCCTAGAAGAAGAGTGGCTTTAAGCAGTCAAATTTGCATCTGTTACAAAATTTATGTTGTCACAGAGCATCTGCCTTGCTCTTCTGTCCACCTGAAAGCCTGAGAGCACCCCAGGGCAGTCCTCCTAAAAACAGGAGGAGCAGGGTTTAGCTTAGTAGGCTTCTGGAAACCAGGTCTTTCTCTTGTAACTTTGGTTAGGAATAAGAGAAATAAGTGGAAACAACTTTCAGTCCAGTGGGTCTGGAAGGCCAGGGAGTCACCTGAGAGTAAATTGGCGGTACAATCTAGCTCAATACCACTTGTCTACAAAGCACAAAACTTGATTTGGCATAGCATGAAAATGCTTTTCTTACCTTGCTCCAGCAATAAGTTCTTTTTGTCTTGGATCAAATGTTAATTGTGAGAAGTCTACAGCATCTTCTGATCTGAACATGTATAGCCAAGGGGCAATTTCTAAAAAAAGAAATGAAAAAGTAATATAGTTGATACTGTAAACATTTACCATAAATTTCATAGTTAGCCAATAGCACATTTGCAGATATCAAGTAGCCAATAGCACATTTGTAGATATCATGGAGCTGAGTTTTCTCAGTATGGTCCTCTTAGGGAACACAGAGCCTTTTACCACCATAACACATAATCTGTCCTATAATATCATAAAAAACAGCACCCAATAAATGACTGAAATGTCAACATTTTGTTTTTTATTTATAAACTAGATGTGTTGGGTTTTTTTTTTTTTTTTTTTTTTTCCCCTTAGGTAAGGAAAACAAGAGTATAACGGATCACTGGTAGATAACCAAATAAGACCAGATTCATTTCACTTGAATATTTTTTATATTCAAAATATTCACTATTCACTTGAATATTTTTTATATTGCGAATGTCTGCATTGAAATAATCCATGTCTGGTGCTTGTTCCAGGGAGATTTGTTCTTAAATATTTAAGTTTTAGCAGAAATAGATTATCTGTTTCCAAGGAGAGAGTCAAGGTGAAAAATGTTATTTCACTGTGAGAAACATATTCAGGAGCCACCTTAGACATGCTGTGCAGAAGCTGCAGCAGCATTTGCTTTGGGAGAACAGATGGATCCTTGCAGTGCAACCACGTGGATGTCAGAAAAGCAAAATCTGCATATTTAACGAGAGCCTATACGGATGTGGACAATCCCCAGCCTAGGATGTCTGTCTGCGCATGCCCGGGAGAGTCTGGTATCCGAGTTCACTGTTGGTTTTCCTAGCTGTAAATTCCCCATCATTGTGGGGAGAGGTTGGAAAATGCCCATTGGGTCAGAGCACATCCGGACTGGAGAGCCAGAGGGTCATGAGGGACCTGCTGAGAAACCTCTCTGAAATCAGATCCTCTCTCCTCCTCCAAAGTACGAATCACTTGTGTTTGGCTGTATTTGGTATTTGTCTTGCTTAGGATCAAGAAGGAACAGGTTCAGGGAGGACAAAGGACAGCAAGAACAACTGTTATTCTTTGCGGCAAACACTCTGAAACAGCCAACTCTGTCTCTTACAATGGCATTGCATGGCTCACGACAGTAAGATCCTATGGAATGAAGTTATACCTTTTGTGACATTTCTGTAAAGGAAAATATCTTCTAAAAGCAAGGAAAAAAGCACATCCAAACAAAGCCTACTAAGTGTAAGAATAAAGCATAGTGGTGAAATTGTTTTGAGTTACACTACTGAAAACTTAAGGAACTAAATTAACAGAATAATTTCAGATTTATTACTATCTAAACAGTAAAATATAGCTGAAGAGCTGTAAGCGAAACATAATATTTCAGTTTTGGTAAGAATTATCTCCTTAGAGTCAGAGATGAATAAGAAGCTAATAAAGGTCTACCAAAAGTTTTTCTTTGATTTAAAACTCAAGGTTACGTAATGAGTAATAATAGCTTCACTTAATTAATGTTTTTTTGGCAGATGCAACATGACATGCTTTATAAGATAACATGGCTATAGATTTTATATACTGCATTAGTCCCCAAAGTAAATGTGCAAGTTAATTTTGCAGCCTGCTGATATATAGCCTAGTTGTGCAGCCTGCTGATCCCAGCAAAGTGGATGACAAACTGCACCAGTCCCCCCACTTTCCTGCTCCAGATCTCCTAGCACTGGTGTCCCCCTCCCCTTTCCCTGCTTCCAGCTACCGTAACGCACTCAAATACTTTCCATCACCTCTCTCTTCTTACTCTCAGTGGTGAAAACACTTGCTCAGGCAGAGCTTCATTCTGGTGATGGTTTTAGGGTTTGTTTTCATTTGATGTTAAACATGCACCATTTTGCAGGCATCAGCCTCAGACTTCAAGTTCTCCATGCAAAAGCTTTATTGCTCTATATATGCAATCATGACAGTAAGTGGACTCCAACCTGGGCCCTTTCAAAACAACCATTATGTATATCAATCAATTATAAGTAAATAAAGAAAAATCATTTATATACGAGTAAAATCTGCTACAAGTCAAAAGCATTCCTGAAATAAAATGCATGCTTTCTGATGGACTTAAGAGATATGAATATTGAAAGAGCTGGATATTCTGAGAAATCCAGGGTTGTCTTCTCGCATGCTGTGAATTATGCAGCGATTTCAGGGTCTGGTTGTTTTTTTATTTTGATTAGCTTAGTTTTAATGGGAAACAAAAGTTTGCTACGGCTCGTAAAGCTATGGCAAATCAAACACAGTGAAGCCCACTCCTCTCGCCCTAAAGGTCAGGACAGTCTCCAAAACAGCTTTATAAGCAAAGGGGTTAATGATCAAAGCTGAACAGAGGACTTGTTCAAATGATGAAAGTTGTCCCAATCTTACTTTACAGTTAATGTCTACCCAACAGGCCATGGTTTGTTTGGTTCACATTGCCAAGGGTTGCTGACTTCTACATTTCTTTGCAAACGAAACGAAATTGTCTCTAAACTTGGCTTCATCATTCAGCCCTTCAAAGACAAGTAAAGAGAAAAACAATTTGACAGAGTGGTATGTTTACAGCTGAGTGCAGAAGTGATCTGACACGGTGAAGAACAATGTTAAATATGAGTACAAAGAGCTCCCAGTTGCATTCACAAATTAACAGAGAGATTAAAACTTTCATCAGTGCTTGCAAGCAGATATAAAGCAACTTATACCATAGTGTCCTTTTGTGCAAATAGTGAGCATTAAATTAAATATATGGGCCATATATCCATCTTCTTGAAGGAACTGTTAGTAGAGAAATGCTACTGTTTAAAACTACCGGCTTTGCAATATTAGCAGATGTCTCTGGGTGGCATCGGTACCACAAATTCACTAAGCTGAGCCGAGGCAAACTAAAGTTTTCTAGCACGTGCCAAAGGGATTTTATAATCAAACCTATCTAATCTGAGGACAAAGCAGTAATTCCAGCCTTCCTAAAGTTGTGTAACACTTCTAGCGCTGTTTAGATCTTTTATTCGTGCAATCCTCATGGTCATCTTCAAAGGCAAAAGACAAGGCAGAAGTGTCTGCTGCGGTTCACCAAGCCCATTACTTCAGCTCTGGTGCCAGCCTCCCTAACCCCAGCAATCTCTATTGAGTCGGCTGAAGATGTTGTGAATGGCTTCCGTGCATCACTGGCATCACTATGAATGCAATTGTTAATTTTTCCTTTGAAGCTTCCCGTTATTAAATAAACACTGCAATGAATCAGAAATTTGCTCAAAACAACTTCATGAAAACAACTATTGTTTTGTGTTAGCAAAAAAAAAAAAGAGAAAGAAAAAAAAAGAAAAAAAAAAGAGTGAGAAAGGCACATCAGAGAGCCTTTCTTAAATTGTTTTTTTTGCAATCAACTTTTCTCTATGTGCTTTTGAATATTATTTTTATTTATTTATTTCCTTTCACCAGTCTAGCCCTTGCAGCACAAGTCGTTGACTCCCAGTGGGTGAAAGGAGAAAGACATTACAACTAGAGGTAATAGCAGAAACATGAACAAATACTGTCCAAAAACAAAGAATTCCCTTAAGAAAATCCAGTCAAAGAACAGCTGTACCTTATCTAAAACTGATCGCATTTCACCTCTACTTATCCAAAAGGGGCTGGGGCTGTGATGCCACAAAACTCCACTGCAGCCAATATGTTCTACTTCTCCTTCACAGAGGATAAACCCACACAAGTACAAGCTCTTTATACACCTCTACTTCTTTTGAACTAACCCTGTCCTCTACCAACCCAAGTTTGCATTGCAAAGCAAGCCAGAAAGGGGTTTCATGGAGAAAACACTAGAAATGTCTTTTCAGAATAATACAAGACAAGCAATTTTTTAAAAACCAACTCCATTTAATGTAGCAAACACAGCAAAAACTCTTCCATTTCTCTTACACACATATATAGGACATTTGTACTCAACCAAAGATGAGCTGCAGTCCGCGAATGTGCGCCTGGTTCCTTTTTCATGGATTTTTAGTACAACAAAGGGACTCAAACTACTGCATTAATCAAAAAGACAAAAAAAAAAAAAAAAAAAA